AAACAAAAAAACAAATGAAGAAGAACATGTCTTCCAGCAGGTCAGTGTTTTTGACACAGATGATGGACAATTTATGACACAATCTTCTAAATTAATAGAACTCAAATATAAAAAGCATGGGGAGTTTAAATTTAAAAAAAAAAAAATTTAAATGCTAGAAAAGCTAGTAGTTGTGTTTAAAATTTGGAGACTTGAACAGAAATTATTAGATTGGTGCAAAAATAGTTAAGTGCAGGAAATGTCCTTGGCCAAAAGCATCATCTCTACCTGCCTAACATTTTCCTTGAGAAATCCAAGCAGCAGCATCTTAAAGACATGAGTTTTATGCACCCACAGGAAAGCATAACAGAAGAACTGCTCCACGCTTGACTTTTGGTATGCCAAATAATTTCTTTAAGTAAATCACTTTTGTTTAAATAGCCACATGTAGCTTGTAGAGCTCAACGCTGCACTTACAAAAAAAAAAACTCAACAAGAGACTTGAAACAATTCTGCTGGTTTTCTGGAAAGCGTGCACAATCTGCAAAATAAAAGGCCAAGCTTCCAGCTAAAGAAGAGATTTTAAACAATTACCAAAGCAGGGTAGTGATATCATAAAGGCAATTTCTGCGCTAGCTTGTTTTCTGAAACTCTCTTTGCCTCTGAACAGCTAGAACAGATAATAACTATTAGTAAATCAAACTCCTGCAATATCCAGCTGTGTCTCACACATTTACATACAGATAGAATGGGTATATGTTTTTAATATGTATGCGATACGTACTTTTACCACAGCTGAAGTGCATGCTACAAAGGAGGAGGAGAATGGGAATGGAATCAGCATGAGATAATAAAGTGGCCTAGATAAAGTATTAGCCAGCGATTGATCTCAAACAGGGGATGTTGCTTCTCTCTGACCTGATTACTTACTATGCATAGATTCCATTAAATAGAGCTTAGAATGGAAAGCTTCTGAAAATACCGTAAATACAGTCAGATCCACAGCCTCCTGAGCCACACCAGCCCACGAAAGGGGCTTAACCCTGACCTGTACTGGCACGTCACACTCGTTGAACATACCCCCATGGCTGCACTTCCCTGGGAGCCAAGGCTGGAGATGCCAGAAAACTCCATGTTTTAAATAAAACCAACAAATTCACGGGGAGGGGGGAAAAGTAAATCTTTATACAGAAGAATTGTTGTGGTTTTCGTTTTCCAGTTGGAGGGGGAGAGAAGATATAGAGAGAGGAACATGCTACGGTGTTGTGCAGACCTCCCTGGTGCTCAGGCAGGAGTACGTTCCATTTAACTCACTGGATGGCTTCTCTTCTTAAGAGAGAACAAACCAGAGACAAAAGAGCAGATGCCATAAGCACAAGGTTCAGAATAACCCCTGGTGAATTTGTTCCCCTCTCCTGGATGGCCAATTTTCCCACTGCCTGGTGAAAATGACATTTTTTTCACTCCTAATTTGAAATACTGTGAAACAATTAAATTGTTGATCATATATACACAGAGAACCCGACGTCACATCATGTTTTGTGGATGGGTCTGGGGAAGAAAGGGACCGAGTGTGAATGTAGGAACCTGATTTCTGCCACTTGCTATGGAAATTCCGTGTTCGCTTCCACAAGAATATCTATGGTACTACAAAGCCTGACTTTATAGAGGAATTTCATACAGCCTTGGCTTTGGCCTTATTTTCTGACAAAATGTGCATAGTGACTTTTATAAAAAAAGGCTTCCTCACATGATAGACAGGGTAAATCCATCCCTGATGTAACCCCGTGGCTGCACTGGAGTTGCCAGTCTGGCACTCCAGGTATTGTTAGTCAGCTCTTAAAGTGCATTTAACAACTCACCGATTATCAGGAGAGTAGAAATAGATTGATGTTCTGCTCCTTTCATTTTGCTTTCAGTCTTTAATTATACTAAATTGGTTACAAAATAGTGACTTCTGGTAGGCTTAATGTCCATAGGGGAGAAAGGCTGCACTCCACTGTTTTGTCAGAAGCGAACAATGATTCCGTGTTACACCTTTCATCCTTGCTAGAACATTTCTTCTAAATAAATAAATAAAAAAAACCCCAAACCCCAATGAACAAGGTGAAATCCTGCTCTCACTTAAATCAACGGTAAGCTGACCTTGACAAGTCCAGGATTTCACTGATGGTATCAGCATTGCTCTACCATGCCAAGTGTTAACAAGGAGATATTCATCAGAACTACAACAGAGGCTTCAGGAAGAGAGGAACTAGAAGGATGTTGTTCTGAGCAATCCTAGAATTCAGAGGATATTTGAAAGCTTTTGTTTTGACCCCGTTTTCCAACAAAATATGGTCGTCTATATAGAATCATTGAATGGTTTGGGTTGGAAGGGAATTTTAAGGTCTAACCTCCCTGCAGTTTTGGGCTACTCACTCCAAGAAGGATCTTGAGGGGCTGGAGCATGTCCAAAGAATGGCAATAAAGCTGGGGAAGGGTCTAGAGCCCAAGTCTGGGGAGGAGCAGTTGAGGGAGCTGGGGGTGCTGAGCCCGGAGCAAAGGAGGCTCAGGGGAGACCTTCTGGCTCTGCACAGCTCCTGACAGGAGCCTGGAACCAGGTGGGGGTCGGGCTCTGCTCCCAGGGAACAAGGGACAGGACAAGGGGAAACAGCCTCACCTTACACCAGGGTAGGTTTAGGCTGGGTATGAAGAACAATTTGTTGCCCTGGAGGGTTGCCCAGGGCTGTGCCAGGCTGCCCAGGGCAGTGGTGGAGTCCCCACTCCTGGAGGGGTTTCCAAGCTGTGGAGATGTGGTGTGAGGGCAGTGGGGACCTGGCAGTGCTGGGGCAACTGCTGGACTTGATGATGATCTGAGAGGTCCCTTCCAACCAAATCTACTCTGTGATCTTCAACTAGATCAGGTTGCTCAGAGCCCTGTGCAATCAGCACATACAGATACACCGTGTGTACAGACACATCATGCTAACGTATGTATGCACATGAGTTCTGTAAATAAAAGTGCTCCTTGACAAGACTGGGTAAGTGGCAGGAATCTAAAGGGCTTGAGCAACTCCTGAGCTAATGGTGAGTCTGTCACAGGGTGCTGGGAGCCCATCAGCCTGGAGGAGGGAATTTAGGGTCAACCACGTCGCAGGCAAGCACTGGGTCACTCTTATTTCAGCAGCAGTCTCACCTCTCCCTTTAGTGCTTGTTGGTACAAATTCATTTATAATTGAATAGCAAGTAGCATGAGGTGAAAAAAAATGCATTAAACAAAAGGTTTTGTTTAAAAAGTAGGAAAGCTTTTTTTAAAAATTATTATTATTTTTTTCCTGAGCTGCTATAATTTTAAAATTATTTTACAAAATACCTCCTTTAAAAGGGGACTAGCACACTCCAGGGCATGTAGTTGTAAAGATAAATCTGTGCACTTCCCTGGTACTGCAGGCACTCACCCTTTGGCCTCAGTTTTATGACTCTACACCCTGGAGTGGTGTTATTGCTTACAAACATACATATATACTTATGGGGGTATGTGAGATCTGCAGATGTTTTATTTATAAGTGGCAGGCCTATTGCATCACTGAAACATGCATTTACAAACAGATATAGGTTTTATGAAACCCTATTCTGTTGTTTTAATAGCTAAGCTATCCAGCCATAGCATAATGGTGCACAAGGTAAATGTGGCTACATCTCTAGAACCTGTTCCAAGTTTTCTCAGATGTGACTAACTGCAAGAATTTTCCAACCATCAAAAGTTAATAAAAAAGCCAAAATAAGGCAGCGTAAGCCTTTTGTAGGAGACGTGCAACCCCACTAAGTGGAAGGGCTCTGACAAACTTGAAGGCCTCATTTTACCAAGGTATTTACATAGGTGCCTAACTCCCAATGTCAATCTATTGAAGTTAATATCCTTACAATTAGATTCACAGTTAAATGCTTTACTAACCAGGATCTAAATTGAGACTAGTGTGGGTTGTGAGATACCTGCCCCAGGGCATCTTCAGAGATTAGCCTTTAACTAGAAAAGAGCTGCAACTGAAGCACTTGTTTATTCCACTTGCAGTCTGCAGCATGTGAGAAATGAGATGGTGCAAATGTGTCCTTATCTTGTTAAAAATCTGTTAAAATTATTCCTAGCTGTTCAATGCACAGAAAACAAATCACGACGATTTTACATAAGCCTCCAAGTTACAGGAAAAATGGCATATCAAGTGATGAAACATTTAAAAATCTAAGATATTCGATGTGACTCAGAGGGGACTTATCGACAGTGTAAGTTACTGTAAATATTTGTAATATTTTTTTGATATAGTATTTTTCTAGCTGCTTAAAACCAGTCAAAACAGCACTCTGCACTAAATGCACAGCCACAAGGGACCAGCTTGAGAGCAGGTACCCTATTACTGCCTTACGGGAAAAAAATGACAATTGCAAGCAAAAAGAAGTGGTCTCTGAGCTCAGATTCCAACACTGAGAGAGCCCTTCTACAGACAGACCCAAGCTACATATTAACTCAATCTTCTGTAGCTAATCTCATTTCATTTCACAGGAATATAAGTGAAAACAGTGGCTCCTACGTTACATTAAAAATACAGTATTTTGACCATATCTTGTTTTCAATCTTCAGACTTCGAAAGGTTAAGACTAGCAAATGATGACAAAGAGTGACCTACATTAAGCTGTAATCCCTGGACATACAAAGTGAAAAAAACTGTGTATTAAGCATCAAAATGGTTTTGATTGAAACTTGATACTGGCTGTGAAAGTTCTGTATTAACTCCCCAAACTACAGGCAAAGCTCTGGCTGCGATGAAGGTGGCAGCAAAATCCCCAGCAGGGGAACCAGAATTCCACCTCTAGTTTGTGTGTGCTCTGTAAATAGGTAACTGCTGCTATTTACCTAAACTGCAGAAGGAGTTTAGGTTTGTACATACTGAAAAATGCAGAAAAAAATGGATACATTTCTATATACATGAATAAAAAGTATTGACAGACAAATACATACTGAGGAGCTCTGATGTTTCACTTACCATTAAATCTTCAGGTGCTGGCCTTTCCTTTGGTTGCTTTCTCATGCTATGTGTCATAAAAGAAAATGTTCATAGATCAACAACTGGTCATTTATTCTACATGCTTAAATATTGAAGATCCCCTCTTTTAACAGAGAGGGGAAAATTTCACTGTATTTCTTAACTGTACCACATGCCAATGGAAGACAGGGCTCCTCACAGCAGCTGGAATGTTAATGGACTCCTTCCCTCCCACCCCTCCCTTATGGGATGTGGTGGTCTACACTGGTTGTAACCATGGAAGTGGGTAAATCTAGAGATGATTGCTGAAAACCAGGCAGCTCAGAAGGCACAGTAAGCTGATTCTCATTTTGCTAGAGATTATTACATAGCTCGACACGAAGTATGACACAAAACAGGTGGGAAATTTCACTCTAACACTAAACAGCTTCAGGAGAACGCACAATACCCTGGGGTTTCTACCTTAATTTTTCCACATTTATTTCCATTACACTGCAGGGTGATAGTTCATTACGCAGCATTAACCTGTTTATAAGATCATGTTTCTCATCCAAATAGTCCTAGTTTTCTGGGCAACAGGTGCAATTAGCTCTTGGAGGCTGTGCTTAGCTGCATGAAGGAACACAATAACGTGGCACAGAGGTGACCATCAGGAGCTGCCTACTGACTAATTGGATTACATCCAAACAGCCAGTGTTTATGGTGTAATTGGCATAAAGTCATAAAGTCTGACACACCGTTCACTTGACGTCCCTAATACTTATGAGGATTTGATTGCTTCAATAGTCTAGATTTGGGGTTTTCTTTAAACAGTAGTGCCTCCCACTAAAAAAGTACAGCCAGTATAACACTCCCTCTCAAACAGTAACCGATCTGTGCTGCACATGGAGGGACCAAGACAGAATTTGCCCTGCCTACAAATAACTCTGAGCACCTGGAGGAACGCCGGCGTTCGCCAGAACACAAGCTGCCTGACGAGGAGGTCGGGAGCACTTCTAATCTGACAGTCCAAAGTAGCTGCATCCCCGGGGAAAACAAGGCTATTAGCCACCATCAGTTATGCTTCAGTTTGACATCTGTGGAAATTTTAACACAGGTTATCCCTCCCTCTGCCTCAGTGAGGGTTGGGTTTTTTGTTTTTTTTTAAAACGGTCTGTCATCGATTTTTTTTTGGGCAGGATAAGAAGCGTAGACCCTCTGCACACGTCAGTGGCGCTGCAGAATCCTCCAAATAGCACTGCTCTTTGTAAACTGAAACTATTGAAAACAGAGGCCTGTGTTACACAAACTTTAATTATTTAGTTACTTTAATTAACCGATAATCAGGCTGCTCTTCTGCCCGTGTTATTTGTTACGTACTACGTCAACCCTGAGAGGTACTTTCTCCTACCTTCTGCTTTCAACCCCTAATTTTATTAGGTGATTTTTGCCACGGTGGCCCCAGCATAGAGAACCTGGAGATGCAGAAAAGCCCAACCTATAGATCTATGTGGGGCCAGGGGCTTTGAGGAGGACACATCCCTGAGGTGGGATTCCCTCCGGCCACTGCTGGCGGTGGCACACGCTGAGATGGCTCCGTCTGATCTAGCACAGCTGAGCATCCAGCCCTGGACGTGCAGGTTCAGAAGGATTCTTCTCCATCAAACACAGCATATTTTTTACAGAATTCAAGCTTATTTCTTCTGCTGCCCAGAAATGGCTGCCCTGGCTTGGGTGTTTTTTTTGGGGGTGAGGGGTTGCGAGAGTTAAAAAAAAAAAAAAAAGGGCCTGTCTCTTCACTAAGGATAACTAACCCTCAAGATTTTTTATTCTCTAGTCACTCAAAACCTGCATCCTTTATTCCACAAATTCCCCCTCTCCCCAGTTCTCCATTAATTTAAAAGGTTTTCAATGAACTATTCAGTTTTAAGGAAAAAAAAATATACCCAGTGGTGTGTTTTAAAATACGACTCTCAGTAAAAATTACTTACTGAAGAGCCAATAAATTAATCAAGGCCGCTTGCCTTTCTAAATATTGAGGCAATTTTCTAAGTAATATTTTAAAAAGCCCTGAATAATGATATTATACACACGAGTCTTTGTGGCCTCTTCCCCCCCCTCTCCCAGCTGCATTCTGAGGAGCACAGGGCTGCACCCGCGTTCAGGGTGGGTTTATTAAAACAGGAAAAAGAGAAAAAAAAAAAAAACAACCACCAAAAAAACCCAACCCTTGTAAGTACTTTTACGACCCTTTGTGTAAATAACGTTTACATAATTTAAACAGTTTGCTTAGCTTTGCTGCCCCATCTGCCCAAGGCCCCCAAGTCCCTCTCCTCTCGGAAAGGATGCAAGGAAAAGCCATAAGGTCTCGCCGAGCTGCCGAGTTAATGGCATGTATCATTTACATTGAGGGCATGGCATGTTTGCAAACCGAGCTTACCATTGAGTGATGAAGTGTACAAATGGCTCAGAGAACTCCCCGGCTGGAAGGACGGGCGATTCCTGGGATTGCAGGGAAACAAGAAGCAGAGTCAGGAGGAGAGATGATAATTTTTTTTTCCTTTCTTTTCTTTAACAGCGACAAGGAAACGACAAAAAGAGTGGAAAAAAGCCAAGGAAGCGACAAAGCCCCTTCTTCACGCAGCGAGTTGGAGGGAGAAAGGTACAAATTCTACTGAGAATGTGTTATAAAACACTGAATTTCAACTAATGAGTATTACACAATGGGTAAAAACATGTGGAAAGACACTGAGGGGAGGTGAAAAAAGGACAATGATAGCCACAGGGTAAAAAGGAAGGTAGGG